ACATATCCCTTCAAAATCAAGGACCCTCCCCCCAAAAAGGAATGGCGCGCCAACGGCTGTCCCTTTGGTTTCAACCTTTTAAAAGCCCACCAAACCTCGGCTTCCCCTCCCCCCCTAAAGAAACCACCACCCCCCGAAAGCGGCGAAGCCCGCGCCGGACCCGTCTTCCCGTCGCAAACCAACGGACTCCGCCTGCTGGTGCGTCACCGGGTCCTCGAAGCGGAAGCTGAAGGTCATCTCCGAGCCCTCGCCGAGGGAACCCCCGGACCGGGACCCCCCGAAACCCCGCGGGCCGGTTTCGGGGGCCCCCAAAAAAAATACAAGAGAAAAGTAGCCTCAAGGAGTGGGTCGCTTTTTGAGCAGGTCATTTGTCGAGTTTCTTAAGGAGTTGGGATGTTGCTTGGGGTGCTTGAAAGGGCGGAGACATACCCTTGCATGGTTTGGAAGGGAAATCCAAACAACAAACATTCTGGGGGTTCCATATCTTAGCTCGAGACGAACCTCTGTTCAGGGGATGAATTCGATCCACAGTGCACAGGGCCCAGTAGCCACAGGTCCTGGGCGAAAACTGCCTGGTGCATCCTGGAATTGGGACAGGGTTATACGGGTGTTTCTCAAACCGGGAGGAACTTGGGCTGGCGTTTCAAGACAGACCAAAACAAAAGCGAATACTCTTTTGCTGCGTTTCAAGATGAACCAAAAGCAAAGACTACTATTTTACGGCAAAGCAAAAGAATCCGACTTTTGAGCCTATCCAAAAGTCGCTCTCTCGCGAAGCGCTCCAAGCGCTCGATCCGCGCGAGCCGCCCTCTTGGCCGCCCGGCGGAGGGCACTTTGATCTCCCCGAAACCCTCGTAGTGGAGGGTGTCCGCGATGCAGGACTGGAGCGCTCGCGGCGTTACCCGAGGTCCAAGCGATAAATGTTGGGCAAGGTGATGGTGAACAGTTTAACGCCCAACAAAATGGGGGGGAGGATTTTGTTGGAAGATATTCAGGGAGAGCGAGAACCCCGGTTTAACACTCACCGAAATGGACGGAATTGCGTTGAAATAGAGAGAGAGAGAGAGAGAAAGCGAGAGCGAGAGCGAGAGCGAGAGCGACAGAGAGGGAGAGAAACTCCTGCCTGAAGATTCGAAAGGAAGGTACCCTAAAAGGGACAGAATTGGCTCTGGTTCAATCTCCTTTTGCCTCCCTAGGATTCTTAGCCCTGATTGCTTCAACGCATTTGCAACTTTCCGGAACCCCAAGCCAAACTTGAAGCTTCCTTTACCCTGCTTTCTGGAAAACAGACCCCCGAAAACGTGTTGTGCCATGCCATGGCTCCCAGAACTCTTCAATCTGAGCTCCCATGACACAGACCGTCCACGGTTTCAGCCCTGTGGATTCCTACTGTCCCATACCGGGGACGCATGGGGAAAGCCGGCCTTCTCCTCTTTTCCAAAACCGCAAGCGTGCTACCTATTCTGAGACATAGGCAGGGATCAAAGGTGAGCTGGACCCACCAAGGTTGTCAACACAAGGTTTCCCCGCGAAAGACAGAGAGAGAAAGGGGGGAGGAAGGGGAAGAGAAAGAGAGAGAGAGAGAGAGCGGGAGAGAGAGCGAGAGAGGAACGGAGAGAGAGAGGCAAGAGAACTAGAATGTCGAAACAAACAATGGTGACCAAACCGTCCAAAGCAGGGCTCTTCAGAGACGAAATGCACACCAGGCACCAGTTACATGTCAACCAGCATTCGAATCGGGATGACCTACCAACGCTTTTTACCCAACTTTGAAGGCCAGACGACCTGCAAAAGGGGGTCTCAGGCCCTCAGTTCGCTTTCAGGGTCGGTCTTTTTTGGGAGTTGGTACCCCTGCTTTGGTCGGCTTAAAGCGAAGCTTTATTTTTATTTTATTTTTATTTTTTTGAGAACAAAAACAGGTTGGCCATTTTGGGGGTGAGAATCCCAACAAACCGTAGCTTCAAAGAGAAACTTCCAAAAACGAACCTTTGGCCCTTGGGGTTCCTAAAGCGCCTTGTCATATCCTTACGGCTTTGCCCCCTTGGCCCGTCTTTGGGGGCCGGGGGTGACAAAGACGCGGCAAAAGACCAACCAGCCACCTGAAGATCGTGGGGCTGGCTGGACACCACCACCAAGTCCACCCACCTGCGCAAGTGCCGGAGTTTGGGTGTCCAAATTCGAGAAGAAAAAAAGGACAAGTGCATGAGGTACGGGGCACAGGCATGAGGCATATATGCATATATGCATATGCATATATATATATATAAATATATATATATATATGTGTGTCTGCAATTATCCAAAACATGTGTTGTGCATAGATGTATATTACATAAATACACACGCACACATGTGTAAATGGTAGGACCCCCCCAAAAAAAAGAGCAAGGTGGTCCTGCTGTGAAGAATGTGCATTTTGCTGTTTTGGTATTTCAACGCAGCGATGTGTTTAAATGAAAGGCTCATTTGCGGACGAGAGGAAATGAAGAGACGTGGCCATTGCAAACTTGCAATGGCAAACGAGAATTACCTGATACAAAATAGTCCCATGAATAAACTCAACTGCCCCGGCATGATGATCCCCAAGTGGTAGTGGATGTCAGCCAGCAATGCCCTCAACATGGTTCTGTGCACTAGGGTTAAGGTCGAAACACATCAGCTGGCGCTGCAGCATTGCCAAAATCTTTCTGTTGAACAAGTGCATGACATACAGTAAACATGTTTGCAGAATGTTCCTGTTGGAAACTGATTGGACTTTATCATGCAATGTATATATATGTATATATATATATATATCCAAATTTTGACATGTCATTGCTAAGCTGCCCTCCTCTCAGCCTCAACAAAAATAAACAAATGGTTGCCAACATCCCACAAGCATGGCGTTCACACTTATGTGCAAGCATGTCGGGTCCAATGGTTGGAAATAATCAAACACTTGCAAGCTAAAGATCGCCCTTTCAAGCGCTTGAAAGCATATCTGGATTAAATTGTTGAAGAATCTCAAGACTAGAATGTCGAATCTTGAATCAGTACTGCCCCGGGCCAAAACGCTTCAAAGCACCAGTGTTCATCACACAAGCACATTGTACTGGTAATATGAAGGTAACGTGCATTGTTTGCCTGGTGAAACTGCTCCTTTGTTTTCACGTCAATCCCTGCATCTTGAGTTCTGTGCGAGTTGACATCCTTTGTGCTAAGACGTATTTAGTGCTAACACTTCAAGCTGCGCCAGCACATCCTGGATTGTAGATGGAAGATTCTCCGGTTTTTGTGTGCTAGTGCCAGCACGTGCTATAATATGTACATATATATGTATATGTTTGGGGTTGTTTTTTGAGGGTACGCATGTTTGTGGTTTTCAAGCAAGCTAATCATGTTTGATTGGTCCAAAAGAAAGGCACACCCATCTGTTTCCGTTCCCATCCTTCCCTCCGGGCCGGGCCCCGCACCGGCCGGTGCACACTTGTTCTTCCGGGTAGGGGCAGTCAGGTGTCGCCACCTCACGCCGTGTCGACTTTCCCGAAGAAAACTTCCCGCTTCACCACGGAGCCAATGGGTTCCAACCATACTGTGGATGGTTGCGAAATCCATTTCGCACACTTTGATACCATGGGAAACCAAAGCTTTGCCGGTATTTACAGGGAAATCATCATTCTAGGGTTTCTTAGGTGGTGCTGGATTTCGTCCATCCACAGCAGGTGACACCTTTCGGCTAGAAATAGATGGGTGTCCCGTAGATGGAGTAAAACCCATCAGTGGAACCCATCTCTTTCTGACCAACCTAACCTAAAAAGGACACCTATGGTTCCAGCATGATGTGGGTTGCTCGCCTATTTTGGAGTTGTTTCCCTTTTGGGGTTGATTTTAAGGGGAACCAAAGGGACAACACATTTTTTGCTGGGTCCCCTGAAAAAGACACACCCATGTGGCTATGCGCGAAACAGGGGATTTAACCAACCTGCTGCGGATGGTCGCGAAATCCATTTCGCACCACGAAACAAAACCATGGTTCAAACCATGGTGTATTTACAGGAGAATCATCATTCGGGCTTCTTAGCTGATGCAGAATTTTGTCCATCCACAGTAGGAAAGGGAATCCAAACAGAAAACAAGGCTTCCAAAATGGCCGCTGTGGGCACGTCACAATGACACCCTCGAGATGGGGGCCGCGTTCCGTTTCGCTTCCCTTTAACCCAAAGGGGTTCGTGTTCAAAGGGGTTGCCGTCAAAGCAGGTTCGGGTGTATCCTGTCCAGCCAAATCATTTTTCCGCAAAATGGTGACCGTCGACTCGGCGTGGTAGAAAAGCTCATGCTTTGAATGAGTTTAAAAGAAGGCTAAAAATCAACAAAAAGACACACCCACACCAGTGGTAAGGGTACCTTTCCAGAAAGGAACAAGACTTATCCTTTAAAGCGCCCCTTTGCGTGCCACGAACCCCCCCCCCCCCCCGTTGAACCGGCCTGTGCAGCGTTCCTGAAGCGCATAGAGGCTCCGTCGATGCCACCTGAGCCAGGCGGGCGGTATCGAATGGGCACTTCATGTTGTTTTTCCTCAGGGCCAACTTGAGACACACCAATGGCGCAATGGTTGTCCTTTTGGTTTGCCTTCAACACCAACCTGAAAAGCCGTGGCCTCAAAAAAGGCACACCCCAAATGGACCTACGCACAGTACCTGGTAGACGGGCAAACAAAACACAACGAGCGACCAAAAAATGGGGGAGAGAGGGGAAGTGTGCGATTCAGCTAATTAACGGAAGGAACACAAAAACGTTTCCCAAGCGGAGCTCTAGAAATGATGGCTTCTTGGGCTCCATTCTGCAGGGCTGGCCTTTGAGGGCGATCTCAGCGCCGGGCTCTTCTGATGGCTGAGATCCACATAGCACTTGCCATCCGAGAAGTCCAAAAGTCCGCCCTGACGGTTGAGACCAGGCGTGGCTTCTCTTTTCTTAGGACATTCGTTTAGCAACAGCTGAGGTCAGACGGCACTTGTCTTGCACTTTCCAAGGCATCCAAACCGAACCCTAGATGAGGATATCAAGGCTGATGCAGCTTGGGGCTTGGGGCAGTTTGGGCTATTGGCTGAAAGACCTGATCGAGCGTAAGGGTGGGTCTGAGGCAAGAAAGGCACATCTTCTTGTAGGATACGCCGTGCAGCGGGAAGAAACAAATAAGGGTATGTCTTCTTTAGGGGGGAACCCCCTAATGGGTGGTGTTCCCTTTGGCTTTCCGTTACACCACCAAAACATCCACAAACGTCCGGTGGCTCCGCAAGTACCCTCAGATGCCCAGCGGCCAAGCGAAAAAAAGGGGCATCCTTCTTTGGTCGCTTGAGTTTCAAGGGTTCCCAAAAACATGAAAAAAGCCCCCCCCCCCCCCGGCCACTGGGTACCCCTCAAGGGTAACCCATAGCCCCTTCCAAAAACCACTCCGAGCAGCTCCAAAAACGCTGAATTCAACCCATACCCAACTGATCGATTTCCAGACTGGTGAGTCTCGTGGCATTTCAACCAGAGCCATGTCGTACTTTGGATGGACGGAATCCATTTCGCACCACTTTGGAACAATGAAAAACCATTTTTTGTTGGCATTCACAGGCAAATCATCACTCTAGGGTTTCTTGGGTGGTGCGAAATGGATTCCGTCCATCCACAGTAGGTTGATGCTCTGAGTCCCAAGTCAAAGGGGACCACCAAGAACCAAACTGGGATAGCCATCGATGCCTACAACACGTCCAAGGAAACAACAGGAAGAACCAAACTTCCTATTGATTTGGGCGCGTCTTTGGTTAGGGGAGACCCCAAAATGGCTTCCGTTCGCCTTTTGGGTTCCCTTTCAAACCAACCAAGAGGGGCACCCACTGCAAAAAAGACGAGCCGTTTACCCAGGCTAGTGTTCGACCCAATCCGGTCCGGGTCCCTTTTTGTTGCCCAAATCCGCAAATGAGCAACCTTGATGGCTACTACCTGCCCGAAAAGTGTTTCGCTTTTGCAGGTCACTGGGAAAAATACGGGTTACCCCCCAATGACCATGGAACCAAAACGTAAGAACACCATTTCTGGAGGTTTCAACTCCAGAAATGAGGAGTTTCCCCCAAAAAACGGTGGGGTTGGAGATCCAACCCCATCGCGCAGCGAAACCCGGGCCGCCCTGCGCCGTTGTGGCAGGGCGCCGTCTGCTTCAGAGGCCCTGCACCTTGCAGCCGGCCGAAAGAGGAGTTTCCTCGCTGCGATTTTTAATCGAGGGTGGGTCCCTTTCGTGGACATGATGTCAGGTGGGGATTCATGTGCACCCACCGGTTTGGAGGTGATTCCCTGTTTAAAGTTATAGCCGTGTTTTTGTTGAGGTACCTGCTCCGTTTTTTTGGGGGGGCGGGGGGGCCCTCTGTTCGAACAACTCGAGCTGTGTTCCGTTCTTCTCCCAAGATCGCCTGCAACACCTCAGGAGTTTGAGTGGCTCAAGTAAAAAGAATGGGGGGGATCTTCCTTGAGGACCCTCAAAAATTTCGGCAATCTGAGCCAAGGCACAGTAGAGGCCAGCCCCCTTTGCCGGCACCTGGAAGCGGAGACTTGAAGCATTATTTAAATGGAAAACCAAATGCTCGGCTTCCCGAGAACTGATGCAACACCGGCAAGGAACACCAACTCCAAACAAGTCTTTGGTTGCCCTTCGCATTGCCTCAAAAAGCAGCCCAAAAAGTTGCTTGCTTGCGCTACTGCACCTGGGACATTTAGAATTCGTCCCCATGTCCCGACTCCCAACTGGACCATCGACAAAGGGTGTGTCTTGTTTTGAGGGCACCCCCTAGTTTTCTGGTTCTAAAGGAAAACCCACAACATGGTCACGTGTTGATAAAAGGCCGTGCTACGGCGGCCATGTTTGCACCTCGGCAAGATTCTGATCCACTGCGTTTTACAGTAAAAACTGCGCACGCGCCGTCTTGAAAGGTGAAAAAACCAGGGTTGCGTTCCTCCGGCCCTACAAACGCAGCGGTTTTTGCAGCGTGTACGCCTTCAAGTTCAAGAAGGGCGTAAGCTTCGAAAAGTAGTTTGCGCAAAGTTGAGACCTGTCATGCGACGCGCGCAACTCTTGAATAAGATTACAATCAGCTTTCAATGCGCTTCTCCAAACAATACTGAATATGTACTGCAGCAAACGAGAGTTGACGCCTTGGCCACGCCCTGCTTCACTCATTCTTGTCATGCTTCACATGGAAGGAGACAAGGCAAAGTTGTTGCCAGTAGATCGAAATCAAGAGGGCCCCGGCAGGACAAGGAGGACGTAAAATAAACAAAAGCAGTCACAGGGTCCGTGCGAGTCAGAGTCAGCACGTCAATGCGGGAGTCCAAGTAAAAGGGGTCAGCAAGCCAAGCAACACGAAGCGGCGAGCACGAGTGTGGGAGGGCACACAGCAAGCCTCAGCAAAAGAACAAGAGAAAGAGCAAGAGCAGCGCAATAAAAGGTATCCATGCCGCTGAGCAGTTACGGCAGCGGCCATG